TAACCAATGTCATAAAACAACATGTGTACTACTGTTTCATGAGAAACTATTTGTTCTGTAAGCCTTCACCTGAAGTACAATAAAATATTAAAAAAAAAAAAATTTGCCATATTAAGCACTTCTTAGTTTTGTGTCTGGACATTGTTCCCAACTCTTCCCGGCTATGTTAACAGAGGATGTGGTATCTGTTCCAGAAGATGTTGTTTGGTGTGATACCTGCTTATGGAGAGGAAGTTGCTGGGAAATTAATTTCCTTTTGCCTTATTCTCTTAGGTCTCAGAATGCAGTTGGCCCATTAGGCAGGCGCCCAGTTTGCACAACCTCTTTGCTGTGTGTCGGAATATGTATAACTGGCTACTACAGAACCCCAAAAACGTCTGTGTCGTACACTGCTTGGTAAGTAACCTTTTGTTGGTGGTGGTGGTGGTTTGGTTTAGTCAAACCACCTGACCCTGTACAGAATGGTGGGCAGGTGACATTTGAGTTCAGGAAGCTTTTATTGAGCCCCTTAGGAGGTAGGTGATGTGAAAGATGTAAAAATGAGGGAGAAATTTACTATTGCTGCCTTAAAGCTTGAGTACTAGTGGGAGAGTTAGATATGTACATAACCCGCATAATGCAAAGATTCTAGAATGTGCTAAGTACTATACAAGAGGTAGAAACAAGGACTATGGGTACATGGGTAAAATAACAATGCCATTGAAATTTGTGTTAGTACAATTGTCATAAATGTGTTGACATATGTAAATATATATGTATATGTATATTTAGTGTTTGTGTTTGAACAAAAATAAAAAGAGACTTATGCCCTTGTAAGTAGTCTAATGGATTAAGTGCATTTTAGAGCAACTCCTAGGGGAACTGATGATTTTTCTAACAACTGACTTCCTAGAATTCCTTTCTCAACTCTTCCTCTGGAGGCCTCTTATCTATCCTTTAAAAATCAACTTCCATCTGAAAAAAAAAAAAAATAAGAATTTCAGTGGATTGAAAGATGAATAAGAGTGTATGGTCCAACTTAGCCTGCATTTGAACTAGTTTGGCCTGCAGTTATATTAGTAAAAAGCATAATGTCCAGACTAAGGGAGGTGATATTCCCTCTCTAGTTAGGTCAGAACACATCTGGTATATTGCATTTCACATCTGGCAACACATTTAAGGTGGTTGTTTTAAAACTGGAGTTGGTTCAGAGGAAGGGCACCAAGTGATGTCTCTTGATATAGACTATTGAATGAGGGAGAATTGAAGAGATGGGATGTTTTAACCTGGAAAAGAGAAGTGTTAATAGAAAGAGAGGGAATTTCAGATACGTGAAGGGCTGTCACTGGGAGAAATGAGTAGGTTTAATCTTTGTTCTGAAAGAAGGAAGAATGAGGATCATTGGGTGTAAGCTATGAGGCAACAAACTTCAACTCAATATACTCAGTAAAAGGAAGAATTTTGTAAACTGGAATGGACTATTCCTTCAAGTATCAGTAAGCTCCCTATCACTTAAAGTATTCTAGAAGATACCACGTAACCATCTATCAGGAATGTTATTGGATGTTTCCTGTATTGAATGAGGGTTGAATCAAGTGAAGCTTCTTTATTTTATATGAATCTAGGACCATACTTTGGGTGAAATATATACGTGGTATGTTCTAAAAAGCAGCATTTGCCTAACCTAGGAACTTTTTACCTCTGGTCCTAAAACCAAGAGACCTCAGCTATTTCTTCTGATGCTTCAAGTCCAACGTTACTTTGAAGATTAAATTATATTTTAAGTAAATATATGCAAATAATGGGAAAAGAGTTTCCCAAAGGATCACATTTATATTGCTTAGGTTTCTTAGGTTAGTAGAGAGTCAGTTTTATCCTAAGAATAAGTCTTTTCTTTCTGCTTTGTGAGTTAAACAGCTGGGACAGATTCTGATTTTCAAGTGAACTTAGACACCCCCGGTTAATAAGAGAATTTCTCAGAGCTCCTTCTCCCCTCCTCTCTCTTTATTACAAGTGTAACCATTCTCAGTGGAGAGTGGCTGATAGGACCATGTTCATGATGAATTTATGTATTTTCTTTGGCAGGATGGACGGGCAGCATCGTCAATTCTGGTTGGTGCTATGTTCATTTTCTGTAATCTCTACTCTTCTCCTGGCCCAGCTGTTCGATTGCTATATGCAAAGCGACCAGGAATCGGACTTTCACCATCCCACAGAAGGTAGAATAAACTAGATGCAGAGTCAGACTCAAATGTGGTCTAATTGGTATCATTTACTATTGGAAATCCACCTCATAGGTACTTTCATAACTTGTGTTATTTTAATTGGATATCTGTCATTATCTTGAACTATGGAAAAAATTGAATCAGATTAGGATATTTGTTTTTCATACAGCTTGGAGCCCAGGTGGTGCAGTGGTTAAGACTGACAGCTGCTAACCAAAAGGTTGGCAGTTCGAACCCACCAGCTGCTCCTTGGAAACCCTATAGGGCAGTTCTACTCTGTCCTGTAGGGTTGCTATGTGTCGGAAACGACTGGATGGCAATGGGTTTGGTTTGGTTTTATATAGCTCCCTTTGAGAATTTGTCATTGTAAATTTAGAGAGATTCTTTAAAGAATATTTATGTCTACCTCTGTCGTTTTACAGATGAGGAAACTGAGACTCAGGCAGATTGTGACTTTCTCTGGGTCTAAAAATACCTAATGGACAGAGTCAGAACATGGTCTCAGATCGCAGGCTCTAAGACCATTCCCTTCCTCTTTCACTGTATAGGTCTTTATGGGAATACAAGCAGTCACGGGCTATATTTACCACTGATGATTGTCCTGTGGGGTACACAATTACCAGAAGAAAAGGAAATGTAGAAGTATGCATGGGATAAGGGGTTTTTAAAAATTTTATATTGACATAGGAACAAGGAAATAGATTACAAAAGATAATCTGATAAGTGGCTTAAAAACTGTTTTTAGATAACTTTTATTATTTTCTTCCCTTTGGACACAATTTCTTCTCATATTTAAATTCCATCTCTTGTTTTTTTGTTTGTTTTTGGAGTTTTTTTTTTTTTTATACTAAAACTGCTTCTGATGATGAAATTCTAAAATCTGTTCAGAGAAGCCTTTAGCTGATAAATTTAATCTACTGGATCAAATAGGAATAGATGTTCAAATATTAAGCTAGTATAAAGCTCCCATAAGCTTTTTCATTTGATAAATACTCAGTTATCAGTTCCATGGGAAAGTATATCATTGTTACCAGATAAAAGCTTTTCTAAATTATTGGCTGCATTGTCTTTTGCTAGTTAATGTTTAAGAAATTAATGGAGTTAATTTTCATTGTAACTTAATAATTTGAAAGAATAAACTTCATCCCAAAGATTGGCTGCTTGTTTCTCCTGGCATGATAGACCCCAATAGAGTGACAATTCTCTGTTTCAGATATCTGGGCTATATGTGTGACCTACTTGCGGACAAACCCTACCGCCCTCATTTCAAACCTCTCACGATTAAGTCGATCACTGTCAGTCCAATTCCTTTTTTTAACAAACAGAGAAATGGATGTCGCCCTTACTGTGATGTATTGATTGGAGAAACTAAAATATATACCACCTGCACAGATTTTGAACGAATGAAGTAAGTCATGATACTTTTCTTCATTTCTTCTTGTGAATTGCCCAGTTCTTACAGAAGTAAGAGCATAGTCTTCCTGTGAGGAGTGCATCATTGTGAAAATTGCTGATATAAAAAAAAAGTTCACCATCAGTGGTAATCCTAGAAATGTACAGCTAAACCAGGGGATGCCATAGCTACTTTTCACGATACGAAGAAGGACTTGAAAAGAGTCAACTTTTCAAGAAAGACTAGCATGAGCTATAATGAGGGCTGAGACAATGGTGGGAGACAGAGGACCTGGGTATTTATGCTTTCATAAGTGTTGTGATAGCTGTGATGGGATTTGGTGAGGATAACAGAAGAATCAGAGATGAATGAGGTTTCTGGCTAGAGCAACTAGGTGATACAATTAAAGAAGATACAGAATCCAGAATAAAAGAGTAGGTGCCACTGGGAGGTGGAAGGGATGTGGAGAGAAGGGGTTTGGCGAGGTGGTAACATAAAATGAAATTAGTCTGGAATAGATTGAATTTGGGGATCGGTATCCAAGATCCTCATAGAGCATGACATTGCTGTTTCTGTACTTATCTTGGATGAATTTTTTTGTTCCCTCTGTCTCAACTTTTTACTAGAAATTTAAGGGTAGGAAAAGACAAATACGCCAGGGCTAGTTGTATTTGAGGCAAACAAGAGGATCTGCAAAGTAAAGATGGACTGTTGAATTATCGGGAAGTCTGCATAGGATGGACAGAGAGGGCCTGGCATCAAACCAATACCATCCCGTTTTTGAACCAGCTTACACTGAATTGGGACTAGCTGCACTCCTGATTTTGCTCAAGATAGGAGATGGTTCCTGCATCCAGGCCTCGGCATACAGATGCCTTGGCCAAAGCCACAGACGACTGTACCTGTGTGGGGGGCTGTGTGATTGTACAAGATTGAACTCTCCTTAAATGTAGGCTTTTGTCTCTCTTTAAAGAGAATATCGTGTCCAAGATGGAAAAATCTTCATTCCTTTAAGCATCACTGTGCAAGGAGATGTGATTGTTTCCATGTATCACTTGAGGTCAACCATTGGGAGTCGACTGCAGGCTAAGGTATGGTTAAAGGAAGAATCATGGGATAAGCAAACCTAAGCCTTTGATGTCAGTATTTCTGAGTATTTTCTCCAAACTACTTTGAGGTTTAGTGACTTGTGATTTTAGAACTGGAAAGACCCTCTAAAGATTGCTTATGTGTCCAACCGTCATTTTAAAGGTGAGGAAACTGAGGCTCAGAGAGTTAGAGACTTACCCAAAGTCCTTGACATGATGACTCTGTCAGAGGTGGCAGCCCTAGAACTTCCAGCAACTATGTCCTTTAGAAGTGTATGCCTTTTCTATAGTGTTGCATTTGGATTAGTATAAGGGAATAGATATCCATTAAGGATGTCAGCCTAGGTAATTGTATTTTTTTCAAAGTTTTTAATGAGATAAAATTCACATAACAGAAAAGTCACCCTTTTATACTGTGTAAGTCTAATTTTTAGTATAGCCAGTGTTCTGCAACCATCAGCACTGTCTAATTCCAAGATATTTTCATCGCTTCAGAAAGAAACCCTGTACCAGTTAGCAGTCACTTTCCCTCCTCTCATCCCATCTCCTGGCAACCACGAATCTACACTGTGTTCTGTGGGTTTTCCTGTTCTGGACATTTCATATAAATCTAATCATGTAATATGTGGTCTTCTGTGACTAATTTCTTTTCCTTAGCATAATGTTTTCAAGATTCATCCTCGTTACAGCATGAATCAGTACTTCATTTCTTTTTATTGCCAAATAATAATACAGTGTATAGATATACCCCATTTCACTTATCCATTCATCAGTTGATGGACATTTGGGTTTTTTCCACTTTTGGCTATTATGAATAATGCTGTGAGTAATTTTACTTTAATGTATCAAATATTTGCTAAGTGCATGCTCTGTGCCAGGCGTTGCCTAGGTGTTTAAAATAGACAAGAATAAGATAGTGTTGCAGCCTTGAAGGAACTCAGTGGAGCACGGGAGATTTGCATGTGTGCAAATATCCATAATGCCATAGTAGAGGGAGGTGTGAGGTGCTATGAGTGGAGCAGTTTGCTTTAGCCATTGGTGGCCCAGAAAGGCTACAAAAAGGATATGACCTTTATACACGGGCCTTGAAGAATGCATTCACCAGGTTGAAGCAGGGCATCCTGAGAAGAAGAAACGACATGAATCAAAGTATGGCAGTGTGCAAAAACATGGGGCATTAGCAGGTGAGGAAATCGCTTGCCAAGGCAGAGTTCATGGAGAAAAGAGGCTAGAAATGAAGCCGCGCCAGTTCAAGAGGGCAAAGTCACTTAATATTCATAGTAAACAAAGGTTCAGATGCAGAAACAGGTGAAGGTGCATGGCTTTCCAAAATATAATCTTTTGGTCAGATTCCCTTTTCACTGATCATTTGTAATGTGCTTTTCTCATGTATGTTTAGGTGACCAACACACAGATATTCCAGCTTCAGTTTCATACTGGATTCATACCACTGGACACAACAGTTCTGAAGTTCGCTAAGTAAGTACTGCTTCGGCTGTAAGCCTTTCAGTCAGTGCTGAGGTGAAATGCTGGGAGCTACGCGTCTGAGAGTTCTTTAGCACTGTGCTGCGTCCTTCCCTGCAATCCTGTGCTGCTGGACCGTTGAGTGTAGCTCACAGCACTTTGAGGCTGGTTGCATTTGAAATCCTTCAGTTAAATATGGTTTGTCTTGAGAAGTACAGATGGATCAAAGAATTTCAAGTAGAAAGGTCTAAAATTTGCATGTGAGGGAACAAAATATCAATAACTTTGATGCTTTGTATCTGTGTATCTCTTTCTGCTTTTCAGAAGAGATGGCAGTAAAATGGTATGAGCAGTGACCCATCACAATGGATACGGCTGTATACAGGACCCTGGACGGTCCTTCTGCACCAGACATTAACCCTTAGTTGCTGTATCATAGTGTGGTCTAGGGAACTCAGTGAGATGGATGGGGTGATAGGTGGGGAGTTGCAAGAGCTGGATAAGGATAGACTTTCAAGGGCTCAGGACAGTGACTATGGACCTATTACACCATTTAACTATCGTCATCACCATACCAGTGTATACTGGTTGCATGTATCAGCCCTGCCTTCCAGAATGCTTTCACATGCAACATCATCCAAATCCTTTGAGTAGGCAGTATTATACCTTTTTCTCTAATGAGGAAACTGAATCTCAAAAACGTAAAGTAACTTGTTTGGTTAACGATTTAAGTCTTTCCTAAAAATGAGTCTCAGCATCAATGTAAGATGAGCATCATATTGGTTCCATTGCATTTCAGTGGTCTTCTTTTAAATCCCTATTTAGACCTGAGTTGGATGCATGTGATGTACCAGAAAAATATCCTCAGCTGTTTCAGGTGACACTGGATGTGGAGCTACAGCCCCAAGACAAAGTGATAGACTTAACCCCGCCCTGGGAGCATTACTGCACAAAAGATGTCAATCCCAGCATCCTCTTCTCTTCTCATCAGGAGCATCAGGACACTTTGGTCTTAGGAGGTAAGTTACCTGGTGGTTTTGCTTTTCAGGATGAAGCCTCTGTGTTATTTATCACATTGACTTCTTTCTTGTGTTTCACTGATGCTGCATGGCCTTTTGTCTTGCAGGACAGGCTCCAGTCGATATCCCTCCAGACAACCCCAGGCATGTTGGGCAAGGTGGCTTCTTTTCCTCTCTCTGCTGGCAAGGTATGTCTTTAAGTTACATGGTGCTTGTGCAAAGTGGTTAGCCTTCAAAGCATCCTACAGCAAACCAGCACTTCGAAACCATCCAATTTCCTTCTTATTTCACACTGTTCCTGCTCAATCCTTTTTCAAATCAGGTGACTTCCCACTTTCTTTATTTTTTTTAACACATATATTTATTTTGACTGTGGCTGTCAAGGAACATATGCAATTAAAAGTAGAATTATTGCATTATAAGTTTCAGAGAGAGTTTCAATATTTTGCCAATCATCTAAAAAAAAGAAAAAAGCCTTATGTAATCTCCATGTGATTTCTTTCCCTGAATTTTCCATGAAGAAATAAGTATATTAAGTATCCACATTACACGGTCCATATACATATGTAAAATATACATATGAATCTTATGACATGTTAACAGAGATAGTGGATTTTTCTATTATTGCATTAAAAAAGTTTTTATTGTGGTAAGAATATATATAACACAACATTTACCAATTCAACATTTTTTACATGTACAATTCAGTGACACTGATTATATTAACCATCACCCATATCCACTGCCAAATTTTCCATCACCATAAACAGATACTCAGTGCTTCCTAAACAGTAACTTCCCTTTTGCCCTCCCTCCCACTCTTGGAAACCACTAACAAACTTTGATCTCTATGCATTTGTTTAATCTATATATTTCATGTAAGTGAGATCATACAATATTTGTCATTTTGTGATTGACTTATTTCACTTGATATAATGTTTTCAAGGTTCGTCCATGTTGTAGCATGTATCAGGACTTCATTTTTCTTTATGGTTGAGTAATATTCCGTTGTAGGTATATACCACGTTTTATCTGTCCATCTGTCTGTGGACATCTAGGTTGTTTCCACCTTTTGACTTTGTGAATGGTGCTGCAGTAATTATTGGTGTAGACTTCCTCACTTTCAACTTCAAGGAAGCTCTTAGACTAGTACAAAATGCCACTATAACCTGAATTCTACCTCTCTCTCTGTGCCGTGTTTTGGATCACATCTTTCCTGCATAGATGCACAGTTTCTTTTTCCAGAACTCTAAGAGCCATATGTGTATAGGAATGCACTTTATATTTTTGTTATTTTAGAAAGGTAACATGGTACGTAAACTATGTATTACTTAGCATCCCCAGACACATCTCAGATAATACCCTGTAATCAGACACATAACATCTCTGCAGTAAAATGTATAAATAATAACCCTGAATGAGATAAATGAAGATAATCATTACTGTCACAGCGGTTCTGGTCAGGTTTTTCTGCCAAATGAGTCTGCGCCAAACTTGGGAAAGCCTTTCCCTATTCATAGCTTTTCACATTTCAGAGTTAGGAGTAAGGGGCTGCGCATCTGTATTTCATTTGGAACGTGGGTCTGTTTATCCAACAGTAAAACAAAAATAACAAAGTTCCCTGAGAAGAGCTGCCTCAAGGAGGGCCTAGAGAGACACTCTGTAGCCTCCTCATTCTTTCCCCAGACGAGGCCTCTTTCCTGCTGCCCATTTTATGTTCACAGTATCTCCTTTGAGGTTGGTGTAAGTACCATTCTAAGCAGAACCATTCTCTCCATTCCCTTATTAGGCGTGTGGTTCACTTCTGCTGTAGACCGTGGGAGAAAGGCATTGCTTTTGGCTGCAGGCCACATGGAGAAGTAAAAGACAGTGAGAGGTATCAGCAAAGGACTAGGAGATAACCTTTAATAAAATTTCACCTTTTCAAAGCACCTAGCTTAGTGCCTGGAAAATAAGTATAATAATAATAAAGATTTAAGTACTATTTACTGTTTATCTGAGCACTTTACATATATCATCTCATGTAATTCTTAGAACAGTCCAGCCCTGTGAGTTAAGTAGCATTTTTTATCCCCGTTTTACTGAGGAGGAAATCAAGGCACAAGTAAAGGAACGTGCTCAGTGCACAGAGACATAAATAAAGGAGCTGGGATGCAAATCCAGGCCATCTGGCTCCAGAGTTCCTGCTCTTCGCCACTACACTATACTGCCTCTCAGGTGCTCTACAAAGTTGACTGTAATTTGGGAGTTCAATGAAATTTGACATACATCAGTTCCTCCAATGGTAAGGGTCTGAAAGCATTATTTGCTCAGGGATGAATCCTTCTCTCTTATTGGAGTTATGTGCATATAACAAAAACAAACAATGCTATGGTCAGTAACTAACCATTTATTGGCATACTGGCCTTCTTTAGATCAGAAATCAGAGAAGTCGTTCTGCGAGGAGGACCACGCTGCCCTGGTGAATCAGGAAAGTGAGCAGTCGGACGATGAACTTCTGACTCTTTCTAGTCCACATGGTAATGCCAATGGTGACAAACATCATGGAGCCAAGAAGCCCAGCAAAAAGCAGCAGGAACCAGCTGCGCCTCCGCCCCCCGAGGACGTGGACCTTCTGGGCCTAGAAGGATCTGCTGTGAGTAAGACCTTCTCTCCGCCAGCGGCTCCTCCCACCAATTCTGAACTGCTGAGTGACCTGTTTGGGGGTGGAGGCGTGGCTGGCCCGGCCCAGGCTGCACAGTCAGGGGTGGACGACGTCTTTCATCCTAGTGGACCTGCATCCACCCAGACGACACCACGCCGTTCTGCCACCTCCACCTCCGCGTCGCCAACCCTAAGAGTGGGAGAAGGTAACTTTTTTCGTGTAGCACTGTGTTTCCCAGTTTGGAATTATAGCTTTTGGGCTAGGCAGGTGGTACAGTGGTTGAGCTCAGGCTGCTAACCAAAAGATCAGTAGTTTGAATCCACCAGCCGCCCCTTGGAAACCTTATGGGGCAGTTCTACTCTGTCCTATAGGGTCGCTGTGAGTCGGAATCGACTCGATGGCAATGGGTTTGGTTTTTATGTTAGACTTTTCCGGTTTCCGCAGAAAGTCCCTTAGAGGTCTAAACCTTCGTTTAAATGGTGAACACAAAGAGGAGTAGAAATATTGTCCATTTTAAAAGGACAGTGCAGAAGTGAGTATTTGAGCTCCTCATCCCTCCTTTTCATTTCTTTTAGGACATCAGTTCTCGAGCTGCTTTAGCTACTTCTACTTGGAAACATAGAAAGATGAATTATTATTAATAACAGACAACGTTTATGGAGTACTTGCCAAACATGGAATTTAACACTAAATATGGATTCAATTCTTATAGAAACCCAATATATAGGTGCTATTATTATTCTCATTTAATTACTGAGGAAATGGAGGCTTAGAGTTAAATGAGTGGTGTAAATTTATACAGCTGGTGTCTTAGTTACCTAATTATGCACTAACAGAAATACCACAAGTGGGTGGCTTTGAAGAACAGATTTATTTTCTCACAGTTCTTGAGGTTAAAAGTCCAAACCAGGATCTCGGCTGTGTCGATTCCTTCTGTAAGCTTTTCTCCTAGTTTCCAGTGTTTGCTGGTTATTTTTGGTGTTCTTTTCTTATAGATGGATCCTCACATGGCATCTGTCTTCCCCTGTGTGTGCATGTCTCCATGTCTTTCTGCTCTTTTTATAACTCAGAAGTGATTAGATTTAGACCCACCCTACTTGGTATGGACTAATTAGCATAACAATGAAAACCCTATTCCAAACAGGATTACGCCCACAGGTAGGGTTAGGATTCCAGTGCATATCTTGAGAGGACACAGTTCAATCCATAGCAGTTAGTAATTAATGGGGCCAGGTTCATAAGTAGGCCATTTGACTCAGATTCTTCCTTCAGTTTTCCTGAAATCTTAATTTTCTGAATACATTTTGGCTACCCAGAGAAATATTTGGTTACTTGAAGATACGTTTAAGGGACTCATGGCAGCCCAGCTAAGTGGAGCAGAGTTTGAACCCCATGTTGCTTAGCTGGTTTCACTCTGCTCATTGCCACAGACTTAACCCCTTCTGTGACTAGTCATCTACAGGTTTTTGACATTTACCAGACAGTGTAGCTGGGTAAGCAAAGATCCTTTACAGCTTCTACAGAACCAGCTCAAACTAGTTACCCTTGTTGCTGTTACTATTAGCCAAGATGGCATCACATTAGCAAGAGGGTAAAGAAATGCCTCAACTCTCCAGTCCTATGGTATCCTCTAGGGAAAAATTATTTTCTAAGCCCATCTTTCTCTTCTCAGAAGGCTTTGGGTTGGTCTTCATTTATGGTAATTCGGCTGTAGGCATTTCTGATGAGAGTGGTTCTCAGGGTCATAGAATGTAGGCACTAAGGCCCAAGGACCTATAAATAGTTATTGTAGCCAGAGTGTGAATCCAGGTTCCCTGAGTTCCATGCCAAGGCTACTAACTCACCAAAATGAGTAAAAACTTTGTCAGGAAAGAAATTACCCGAGATCAAAGATAGCTCAGTACTCTGTGGTCATGTTTTAGGACTATGGACCTGTATGAGTCCTGATAATTTAATTCATCCATCAGAGGCCTATGTACATAGTTTTGTTCCCATGTCAGAGCAAGAAGGGACCTTAAACATCAGTTAATTCTGTGCTTTAGTTATAGGCAGTGAAATTGACGCCTAGATATATTGGTTGATTTTCTGAAGATACAGCTAATTATGGCAGACCCAGGTCTAGAACTCAAGTAGTTTTACTTCCAAGAGTAGATAGAGCACTGGGTGTAGATTCAAAGGCCTGGATTTGAATCCCAGGACCAACATTTAACTGTTTAATCTTATTAAAAAATCTTAACCTCTGTAGTTGTAAAATAGAATTAATGTCTACTTATTAGCATTATTTTAAAGACTGACTTTTGAGCTCTTCTCATGTGACGTTGAGTAGTTCACTTTCAGTTTCTGTAAATTGCTTCTAATTTAACGTAACCAGTTGCCATTGAGTCAACTGAGTCATGGTGACCCCATGTGTGTCACAGTAGAACTGTGTTCCATAGGGTTTTCAGTGGCTGATTTTTCAGAAGTAGATTGCCAGGCCTTTCTTCTGATGCACCTCTGGGTGGACTCAAACCATCAACCTTTTGTTTAGCAGCCAAGTACTTTAGCTGTTTGTACCACCCAGAAACAATTGAAGATAAGTTGATGTTAAAAGTATACCAAGTAATGGTGAGAAGATTTTAGCCTCTTCCACTGATTGGCTTCAGTTGGTCAAAACTAGATGTAGAAGGAATAACCCAGTGTTCTCTCGCAGTTCCTCTATAAACCTCAGTGTTCTCATTTTATAGAAGCGATAAAATTTTCTGAGTATAAAATGAAGGGATACAAATTGTGTAGCAGAGTGCCTGACACCCAGTCGATAGCATTGCTACTACACAAGGCTACAATGCTACCCAGCAGATATTAGGGGAGCATTATTCCAATGATTGATAGCTACAAACATGTTAAACTATTTATCCTACCTGGATTTTAAGAGTTGGATTTATTCATTAACTTATTTTATTCTAGTTTTCTGTTCCTAAAATGAGCCAGTCCAACTTCAGGAACCAATCAGCCCATTAACCATAAAGCTTAGGAAGTGACGTCTTGCTACAGGTTGCTACAGAGAGTTTTGTACCTTGCCCAGTAACAATAAAGACCAGTTACATACATGCAGCTGTGCAGTGTTTTCTTTACATTCATTTCACACATGGAGGGAGTATGATATTCCTTTGGAAATATTCCTAGAATTTGGAGTCAGAACACCTGAGCATGAATTCCAGACCTATTATTTACTTGAACTTGGGCAAGAAACTTAGCCTTTCTGGGTCTCAGTTTCATCACCTGAAGATAATAATACCACTTCTGTCTGACAGAGTGATATTGAGGATCATTGGAGGTATTTTTTATCAAAGGCAGTGTAAACCCTAAGAAACTATACAATATTAGCTGTCGTTGCATTGTTGCTGGTAACCTTGGCTTCCCACTTTGTTCTAGTCTTCTTAGCTCATTCATAAATTTGCTCTCATCTAGTTTGTAACAAGTGATTGAAAGGGAGTGTTCTGGAAACAATGCTTGAGTGCTGTAGGACATGATACATGATGAAGTCCAGTTTTTGTTGTTACACTCATTTTATTCTCCTTAAACCTTCAAGTGAGCCAGAGACCACTAAAAAATAAAACAAAACAAAGCCTGCTAAGTGTGTTTTCCTGCTGTTCATCTTAATAACAGAGTCCCCCCTGCCTGGTATTTGTCTACTGATTCATTCAGCATGTCTTTATTGAACCCTGTCTATACTTTAAGCATGGTCTGCCACTTACTGATTCATTTATGTTGACCTTGGCTAGTCTGTAAGCTTGATTGACCTATTTCATGTTCTTAAGATAACCAAAGGCCAAAGGGACCCTTATTTACACAGTCTTTAGGGTTCATCTAACAGATAAATCTGGGCTCCTCCTTTGTCCACAGAGATGAGGTGATTGCTGTGTGGTCAGAAACCCTTGGGATCCGTTCTTATCCCTGAAGGAAGTTTTATGGATAGGTTGGTCCTGCACAGCAGCCAGGGAGGCAGATGTCATCCTGATTTTTCAAGTGTTTTGCCTGGAGCCTGGCAATAGTGACAACTCTTGAGTATTTATAGAATGAATGAACTTAAAGGATAAAAGAATACATTTTTTCCCTTGTTTTCTAGGTGCCACCTTTGACCCATTTGGAGCACCTTCAAAACCATCAGGTCAGGATTTGCTGGGTTCTTTTCTGAACACATCCAGTGCATCCAGTGACCCCTTCCTTCAGCCTACAAGAAGTCCTTCACCTACAGTGCACGGTAAAGAAGTATTTTATGTTGTGTTCACAGACATAGTTTTCTACAAGGTATCAGTAAGTGCTCAGATAGAAAAATCATCCTGTTTATGCTTTTTGGGGAAAAACTGCATATTACATCTCTCATTTGGAAATTAACAGTTCATAATTAAAAGCTCTGTTGTGTCCACGGAGTTTTCATTGGCTAATTTTCGGAACTAGATTGCCAGGCCTTTCTTCCTAGTTTGTCTTAGTCTGGAAGGTCTGCTGAAACCTGTCCATCATGAACGACCCTGCTTATATTTAAATTACCAATAGCATAGTTTCCAGTATCTTAGAAGCACACAAGCCATCACAGTATGACAAACTGACAGGTGGAATGGCACAGGACCAGGCAACGTTTCGTTATGTTACCCCTAAGGTCATCATGAGTCAGAGCTGACTAGACAGCAACTAACAACAACAACATATTAAAAGCTCTGAACAGTCAACAATTACTTTAAAACAAATATGAAAATGTGAGGGGGCAGGGAAGCTAGATTAATGGAAATGGAACAACCAGAACAGAAATAGTGAGAATGTTCACGTGTTGTGAAGAATGTAACCAATGTCACTGAACAATTTGGGTAGAAAGTGTTGAATGGGAACTTAAGCTGCTATGTAAACCTTCACTGAAAACACAATAAAATACTATTTTAAAAGATTAAAAAGAAAATAAATAAATAAAAGCTCTGGGATGCCTTACAGGAAAGAAACTTGCTTAACTTTGTTTTACTCAGCTTCTTAAAACTTTTTGACTGTGGAATTTTTTTTTTTTGCATTGAGTTATTTGTGTTGCAACATAAAGCACCATTTATTGCAGGATCTATCATTATTTTATATACCAGTAAGAAAAACACTGCCACTTTTAATTGACTGGAAGATGCATCTGATTGAAGAAATGTTTGAAATGTGGAAAAATTATGTCTTAGAATTAATAAAATATGGTACTAATGTTCCACAAAGTTAATATTTCTCAGAAAAAATCTTTGGAATACATCACCTTAGTATATTGGAGCTGTTTTGTCCAACAGCCACTAGCCACATGTGGCTGTTGAGTACTTGAATGTAGCTAGTTTGATTTGAGATGTAATCTAATTATAAAATACGCACCAGATTTCAAGACTTTGTACAAAAAAGAATATAAAATATTTCATTAGTATTTTATACTTATCACATGTTAAAATAATATTTCAGATATTTTGGGTTAAATATATATTATTAATATTAATTTCATCTGTTTCTTTTTACTTTAATGTAGCTACTAGATAATTTAAAATGACGTATGTGGCCTATGTTATATTTCTATGTTAGAGACTTATGTTGTGTAGAAAGAATAGTAATCACATCTGTTTGTAAGTGCAAAAGTGTTTCACATATGTACTGTATTTTTATACAAATAGCGTGCACCTTCTACATTTGTTTGCCAACTGTGCCCTTCCCCGTGAAGTATTTTCATAAGCACCACTATGCCAGTTTTTTTACATGTTGTTATAAAAAAGACATTTGCATAGAACACTTAGGGAAATACTTGGCAGGGGGAGGGTGCTGTTGGCAAACAAACGTAGAAGGCGTGTGTTATTTGCGTAAAATACGGTAATACTGATTAAAACTGGAAATCATCAGTGAAGGAGAAATGCTTTGAGCTGGAGAACTGTAGCTCGTTCCTGATTTTGAAGGCTGTTGAACAACAGTGGCCTCAACCTAGAGCATGATGCGTCATTCGTTTTTGTTTTGTTTTTTTTAATTTTTTAGATTGTGCTTTAGATGAAGGTTTACAGAGCAAATTAGTTTCTCATTAAACAATTAATAACACACACTGTTTTGTGACATTAGTTGCCAACCCCATGACGTGTCAACACTCTCCTCTTCTCAATCGTGGGTTTCCCGTTACCAGCTTTCCAGTCCCCTCCTGCCTTCTCATCCTTGCCCTTGGGTTGGTGTACCCATTTAGTCTCATTTTGTTTTATGGGCCTGTCTAATGGGTGAACCTCAGGAGTGACTTCAGTATTGAGTTAAAAGGGCGAGGGCCATAATCTCAGGGTTTCTCCAGTCTCTGTCAGACCAGTAAGTCTGGTCTTTTCTGTGAATTTGAGTTTTGTTCTACATTTTTCTCCAGCTCTGTCCGGGACCCTCTGTTATCATCCCTGTCAGAGCAGTTGGTGGTGGTAGCTGAGCACCATCCAGTTATACTGGACTCAGTATGGTAGAGACTGTAGTAGATGTGGTCCATGTGTCCTTTGGACTAATCTTTCGGGGTGATGCATTGCTGAAAGCATCCTGAGCTTGCCCAGAGAATACAGTCTAGTCACCAGCTTGACTTCACTGAAGCCATGCAGATACAAAAGGAAGATGAGTTGTGCAACACTGTTCAAATTATAACTTGACTAGAAAAGAGAAATCAGTCTAGAAACAACATTTATGGATGATTTCCTGGTTTTTAATCTCAAATTGTTTGAAGTGGGTCCATAGGACTACGTACAAGAAATTCACCTTTCACCCATGAGTAGTGTCCACTTAAAAGAGTCTCCTGTTTGGATGTTGGTTTCTCAGGGGAGGAAGGATACAGTGATGTAGGTTAAGTCTTTACTCAGATGTCACCTTTTCAGTGGCGTCTACTCTGACTGCTCCATTTCAAATCACTACTCATCCCCTTACCCCAAACTACCGACTCACCCACTCTACTTTTTACTTTCCAAGAAATGCCTGTGGTATACTTGTTTATGTCAAGCTCAGGTGAATTGAGTTTAAGTTTTTCCCCCTTTTCTTACTGCCCACTGACTCTGTGTTAAGTGTAAAAGCGGGATACACAAAGATGAAGAAGATAGTTCTTGCCTTTGAGGAACTCACAAGTTAATGAAGACAGACATAGGCACCATTATAATTCAGAGTTTATGGATTGAGCACATATTATATGATGGATATGGAGGTAAAAAATAGGTGAGCCAAAGAAGGAACAGAGACAAATAATAGTTTCTACCAAGCCACATGCGAGTACCGTGGATGACGGCACAAAATCTCAGGTGTCACCCAGAGGAAGGAAGGAATCCCTTGGGAGGTCATGCAGGCTTTGTGGAAGAGATGACATTTTCCTGTACGGACTCAGAAAAGTGGATTCTGAGCTATCTCATTATTCTTTTTTCTTCTCCGCATTTGCAGCTTCTAGTACACCAGCTGTGAACATTCAGCCAGATGTTTCAGGAGGCTGGGACTGGCATGCTAAACCAGGTAAAGATCAGCAGGTTATTTTTTTGTACATGTTTAACCAGTTGCTAAAGCATAATCTTTCACACAGTATGAAGTGAGTGCTTACACAGAATTATAGTCCACCCATGCAATTTGTGGTTGATTTTTTTCTGAAGACTTACTCTGGCTGAGCTTTTCCGGTGGCACGTGATGACATGATAGTGTTGCCTATTATATATTATTTAACTTTTCTAAGTCTCATTTGCTGAATTTCTGCCTTGATAATATAATCAGACAGACCTAAGTGTATATCCAGCTCTACCACTTTTTGACATGTCCTAGCCTCAGTTCTCTTGTCTGTAAATGGGATTAATTATTCTTGTTCCAAATAGTTGTTTAAGTGAAATGACTTTATATAAAACTCTAACATATAGCAGGTGCTGAATGAATATGAATAGTCTTCCTTCTTCAGAGAGTACTTATTTCAGGGTTGGATTCATCTGTAATCGATAAGGTCTCTTCCTCCTGGCTACTGTGGCATTTATTGAAAGCTATCTTGTGTGTGACTGTGTTCCCAACCCTGTGCAGGTTGCTTACACACACACAAACACGCATCCACAGATCTATACACATGCACACAAACACGCACACACAGATCCATACACATTCACGCAAACAGGAACACGCAGCTCCATGTACATGCACACAAACACACAGATGCATACACACACACAGATCTATACACACACATAGAAGTATGCAAACACAGATCCATACACATGCACACAAACACAGATCCATACAAACAGGAACACGCAGCTCCATGTACATGCACACAAACACGCACACACAGATCCATACACATTCATGCAGATCCATACAAACACACCAATATGTACACACAGATCCATACACTCTGTGCTTATCACAACAACTCTCTGAAGCCATTGCTGTTTCCTCTTTTTTACTAATGAGAAAATGTTGAAGCTCAGGGACATTAAGCAACATGCCCAAGGTCACTCTGCTAGGAAGTGGCAGAGCCAGAATTCAGATCCAGGTCTGACTGCAAAGCCCATAGGAAGGCATGAAGTGAGGTAACATGAGAAGTAAACACGGGCTGTAGCAGCTCACAGGTATGGTCAGGAAACAGCAGGCGTCTTTTCCGTGCCCTGTCCTTGCTGCAGGCCATCATTCACCTAAGTCAGAGAAACGGGGGCTAGCAACTTCTTACACGTTTCTAAACCCTATCCTGGTTTATCCTAGAAACAAGGTGGGCAGTAGCTCTGGAATTCTGAATTTTAGAATTCATCCTCGAACAACTACCTCATTTTCAATGATCTTGTTTCCTTCTCAGGAAGTTTTGGAATGGGAAGCAAGTCAGCTGCCACCAGCCCAACAGGATCTTCACATGGCACTCCCATCCATCAGAATAAACCCCAGACTCTGGACCCTTTTGCTGACCTTGGGGCACTTGGTACAAACTTAGCAGGTTAAGATATAAATAACATTTACTTATGGCTACAAAGCTTCAGATCTAAATCTTTGGTGTTACAATGAGCTGGTATTATTACCTGGGACCTAAAATAGTGTGTATTCTTAAACTGCATTCTGAAACCTGAGATTGGTATAAAAACAAACAAAACAGACATCAAATATTGGGTTATAAATAACACTTATTAATCCACTTCTGAATGCCTAAGTTTGGACTAGTAACATGAATAAAGTTAGAGCCTTAAGGAGCATCTGACAACAGAGATTGGCTGCAGCAAAGGTAACATGTAGAGAACCAGTGAGAGAGGAGGCTGGTCAGATGGATTTGGTTTCTGAACAAGGGCTACAAGTCAGTTTTTGACTGCTAGGCAAGGGTTCTGAGAGTAAAAATTAAACTTCCAAATTATATACCTGCAATTCAGAAGAGACGAAAGACAGTGTCCTTCTCTTCAAGGTATTTTCACGTTAAACAGTTCTGATACAAACACCAAAACATTAGTCCCTCCCATAGATAATCGGATTTAACTGGTCTGGGATGTGGGTTGAGTATTTTTTGAAAAAAAAAAGCAAAACGCGTTTCCCTTGAATTGATACCAACTCATGGTGACCCCATGTGTTATAGAGTAGAACTGCTCTGTAGGGTTTTTTGGCTGTAATCTTTATGTAAGCAGATCACCCGGCCTTTCTTCTGCGGTGTCGTGGGTGGGTTCGAACAGCCAACCTTAAAGTTAGTAACTGAGGGCAAACTGTTTGCACCACCCAGGGATTTACAAAGTCCCCAGGCGATTCTAACACACAGCCAAGTTTGAGAACCACTGCTTTAGCTTTTAATGAGGATAGCAGTGGCCTCAGAGTTTGGCTACTGCTTTGTATTTCTCTCAGTTCTCTGCATTAACAATTAGAATTGCTTAACATGAGTGAAAGGGTAGACATAAGAAAGTTCTAGCATGCTGATGAGCCCCTTGAGAGCAAGGTCAGCGTCTGCCTTTTCACCACTGTATCTGCAGCGTGACATTTAGAAGATGCCCAATAGTGTTTCATAACAGAATGAATAAATAAAAAAAGTGTGGTGAGAATATGGAGTTAATTTTAGTCCTTTAGATTTTTTCCGTATTTACAAAAATTTTAAATAATAAGCATGTACATTAAAAAAAGATATTAAGCATTCTTAAAAAGATAAAATGAAACTCCAATACAGAATGAATACCCAGCGTTAGGTGTGTTGATGTGCGGTTGGCAGGAGGGCCCTGGGTCACATGAAGAGAGGCTTCATGCTCTGAGTTTCAGACTGAGAGGGGTCAATGCCAGGCATCAGAGTACAAGCCCCGTCATTACCTTGTCCTGTTTATTGAGCCCTTATGATGTAGCTTGGGAGAAAGGCCTGGTGATCTGCTTCTGAAAAATCAACAATTGAATACCCTACGAAGCACAGTTCTATTCTGACACACATGAGGTCACCATGAGTTGGAATCAACTTGACGGCAACTGGTTAACCAGTGGTTAACTGGTTATGGTGTACCAGGCATGTGCTGGGCACATGAACTTGCATTATTTTGTAATATTAGTGCCTCTTAATTCAGGGTTTGTGAAGCACTTTCATATGGCCATTGTGTCTTTACAGCAGACTGGTGATGTAGATATGTTTTTATTTCACAGATGAGGAAACTGAGGCTCAAAGAGGTGAAGTTTTTCACCCAGTTTCAGAAGAGCAAGGATTCTCTATAGCTTGTTTTCAGCTATATTCCTAGTGCTCAGCACAGTACCTGGCACATAGTACGTGCTCAGCAAGTCTGACTGAATGAATGTATGAACCAATGAATGGATGCATGCATGAATGAGTGATAGAGCTGAGACTCAAACTCAGATGGACTCCAAGCTGAGTGGCCATTGCACAACATTCCTAGTAGGGGAGAAAAGAGTAGTCCCAGGATCAGAATAGAGAGAAAATATATCTACAGAAGGAAGAGACAGTAAGGGAAGAGTTGCTGTTAAAAGGCATTTGGGGGGGATTAGAGATTAGGCAAATGAGAGGTAGTGCAGCAAATGAGCAGGAGATGTGGACTGGGGCTCTGTTATCAAGTCCTGGCTCCATTAACTAACTCTGTGGTCATTAGCATGTCAGTACACCTTCTGAGCCTTGACTTCCTCATCTTTAAAGTGGAGCCAAGAATACTCCATACCTCCTAGGGGTGTTGTGTAGATGGAAGGCAGTAATGTACACAAACACATTTAGTAAAGTCTAAGGAGCTATATAAATGTTAAGTTATTTTATCATTGCTACCTTGGGCTTGTTGCATGAAAAATCACCTCGTTGCCTGAAAGATCACCTCATTTCAGTTTCTTGTTTTACCTCTTTAAACACAAACCACAGCTGGTCTTCAGAATATTTTGGAAAGAGTCCAGTGTGTGTGCAGTGAGTGCTTAAAAGTTCGGAGATTATGAGATCAGGATTCTACTTAGATTCCTGGCACAAAATAATATCGTTTTTTTAAAGCTTGGATAAGATCCTTTGTCTTGATCAAAGTTGTCAGAGAGTATTGGCTGAGTTTGCTGTCTTGCAGTAAAATGCAAGAAGTGTGAAATTGAAACCTACTTGTGAAGTGTCAAAACATCTTTATTTACTCTTGAGAACTGACCATGCTTATACTTATAACAAACAGTGCTTAATCCTAATAATTAAAATTTTAGTAGCCTCTTAATGAATGAATTTATTCTGTTTTATTACCTGTCCTTGTCACTTGATTGTTTCACTCCAGTGAAGAAATAGAATCTGCTGAGAAAGTGGTGGGGAGGGAGGGAGGGATGGCACAGTGAGAAGGGTTAGGGAGGGCTCTCCTGGCTTGGAGTCAGACACCTGGATTCAAGTCTCAGTTCTGCCACTTGCGTCTACATATCCTTGAGAAAATCACTTAACTGCCCTGAGCTGCAGTTTGTTCATCTAAAAAAAAAAAAAAAAAATGGAGCTATTAATACATACCTAAGAATGTCTTTGTGGGGATTAAATGAAATAATATATGTGCCTGCGAATTGTTTAACTCTTAAGAATATTAATTATTCTATCAGTCAAGGCAATTTCCACTAAAGTCATTACAAACGATGTCTTGGGACACAGGAGTTCGAGGCCACTCAAGTAGTATGACCGCCTTTCTCTCTTTTTTCTGTAGGTAGTTCCTCGTTTGCCAGCAAACCCACCACACCAACTGGATTGGGTGGAGGATTTCCACCTCTTAGCTCACCACAGAAGGCATCTCCCCAGCCTATGGGTGGAGGGTGGCAGCAGGGTGGGGGCTACAGCTGGCAGCAGTCACAGCCCAAGCCACAGCCCAGCATGCCCCACTCGTCGCCACAGAACCGACCCAACTACAACGTGAGCTTCTCGGCCATGCCTGGGGGCCAGAATGAACGTGGGAAAGGATCAACTAATTTAGGTAAGGGTGATGGCATGGGGCTTGGCTATACGGTGGCCTTGTCTGTGTTGTTCTCCAGCCTGGGTGTGTATGCCTGAGGAAGGAGACAGAAAACAATTCTGGTAGTTTTTGAGGCATTCTTATAGTTGTAGAAACACAGTATGATCCCCAGTCCTAGTGCTGTGCCTGGAGTACCTTGGGTGTCCACTTTCCTAACACTTATCCCTTTTATAATTGCTAGCCCACCTGCCTGTTTCTCTCCACACTGAGACCAGATTCAGGGCAGGGAATGTCTTATTTACCACATTATCATTAGCACCTAGCATGGTGATTGGCACATAGTAGGCACTGGATGGATATTGAATGGATGTGAGTGGATGAATCTTGGGGCTGTTATTCCTTTAGAGAAGAGTTTGGAACTTTTCAAGACTGTGTTCAGATTTGCCCTTGGATCCTAATTAGATAGAGCAGTGTATGTGTCTTGGACATTTGGTCCTTCTTATGCTCTGGTTTGTGGATGTTCCTGAGATCAGCAGAACACCTCTGATGAGTTTTTCCTCTCTTCTGAGAGCCAAGTTAAAGAGCACAAAGTTGGCCAACAGCCAGGGCTAGCGAACGTTCTGGATGAGATTCTTAACAAAGGGTAGAAAGAAATATGTTTTGTATAGCAAAGATGGTTAATTTTGACTTTGTTAAAAGCCCTATTGTGATGCATTTTATATTTCAGTTGATTTGACCATCCCCTAGAAAGAAGTGAGGCAGGAGCAGCCTTTCTCTCTATGGAAGATGGAAAAGGCAGTTCTACTCTTCCTAGTAGCAGTAGCTACTATCTGTTGAGTGTTTGCTATGTGCCAGGTGCTGTTGTAAGCACTTTTCATGTAGTATTTCATATAATATTCAAAACAACCCTAGGCTGTAGGTGAGGAATCTGTGGTACAGAATGATAAAGTAATTTCCTAAGTTCTTAAAGCTCGTAATTGACAGAACAGGATTTGATCCTAGGCAGTTTGATTCAAGGAGCCCTGTTCTTTGTCTTTTTAAAATTTGTTGTAAAAATATACATATAATACAACATTTGCCAATTCAACACTTTTCAGTTGTACAACTTAGTAATACCAGTTACATTATTCTTGTTGGGCAACCATTCATTACCCTTAATTGATACCAAATTTCCCGATGCCATAAACAGAAACTCACTGCTTCCCAAACATGGGCTCCCCTCTCAGGACCCTTGCTCTTAACCACCATGCTCTACTGGCCTTCTCACAGTACTAACGTGATAGGAATTCTTTTGTTGGTAACATGTAATATCACATATATTCTTTGGTTAGCAAGAGATATTCCTTGCACAATTCCATACAGTCATTCATGTGCTTCCTCTCCATTTCTCTTTCTGGTAGATGTGGGATGAGTACCTTCAATCAGCAGATATTCACAGAGCATCTTCAGAATAGAAAGCATTGGAGATGCAGCAGTGAACAAGACAAACAAAATCCCTAGTCTTGTAGTACTTAGATTTTAATGTGTGCCTGTGCGAGTGTGTGTTCAGCAAGGCGTACAGTTTAGAGATGGGAAGTGGATTTCAACTCATATTCCAACTTTGGTTGATCGGCGTTGGTTGCATAGAATGCTGTGTTTTTGTTCTGTTTTGCTTTAATTTAACAAACATTTAAATAACCAGGCACCGTTCTAAACACTTTAAAACGTTAACTCATTATTTCTCACAACAACTCTATGGGGTAGATAATATTGTTAACATCATCCCCATTTTACAGATAAGGAAATAGAGGCATGGAGATGATAAGTAACTTCCCCAAAGTCCCATCACTAATAAATGGCAGAGCTAGAATTCTCACCCAGGGAGTCTGGCTCCAGGGTCTGTGCTCTTTGCCACCATGCTAGGCGGCCTCTCCAAACAGATTGAGAAAGATTGTGAGGCTGCAATGAGACTAAAATTATCAGCTGAGTGTGAGGAGTGGTGGCATGTGTATCCAGTATTTGCCACCTCTTGATTTCAAGTACAAAACACAGGCCTAGTCCCATCACTGCTACTAACTAGTTGTATGACCTGGGGAAATCATGCGTATCCTCATCTACAAAAGGTGATAGAGTGGAAAGGGAACTAGAGTTAGTCTAAACATCTAGCCCTAAATTCTAGTGTTGCCATGGACATGTTATATGAGTCTGGACTGGTCTCTTAAATTCTTCAGGCTTAATTTCCTTATCTGTAAAATGGGTGTAACAGTTTCTTACCCTACTCACAGTGTAAGTGTGAGGATTAAGGGGCTTAATGCACACGAAGGCAACTTAAAAACCCTAAGTGCTTTGAGATAATACAATATTATGTTTAAAAGTAAAGCTTATAATGATTTTCAAAAATCATATTGCAGATGGGAAACAGAAAGCAGCTGATTTTGAAGACCTGCTCTCTGGTCAAGGCTTCAATGCACACAAAGACAAAAAGGGGCCTCGAACAATAGCTGAGATGAGAAAGGAGGAAATGGCTAAGGAAATGGATCCTGAGAAATTAAAGGTGAGTCAGCCCCTTGCCCGGTGTCATTATCCTGTATCACAAGGTCATGTGTGTGAAGCCATCAGCATGGAAGCTAACCTGTAGAAGGCACTGTGGTAGATTTTTTGGCAACCACTGTGTTTCAGTTGGTTCCCAGAGCTGTGATCTGAGTACAGCCTTACCCTTTAATAGCAAAGCAGCTTTGCACAGGGTTGCATATGCTTTTTAACCTCTTTCATAAAATACATTTTATACTGTGGTATGGTAACATAGATTTCCTTTGTTTAAATGTTCAAATGGGCGATAACACTCTTTAAGAGGTGATTTTGTTATTCATATGGTGTTCAGATTCTAAAGATAGCTAATGAGAATTTGGTAGTAAGAAGGATGCGTTATTTATGCCCTCTCTTTCTGCCTTAAGAGCTTTATATCAAACCAGATTGGCTGAAGCCCACAGTGTTTTTTCTTTGTTGATAGAGAAATATTTATATACCTGGGAATCACCAACTCATGTGATGCCCCATCTGCTGCTGTGGGGAAGTGGAGGCAGGGGAGGCTAAGGGAGGTATGGATCCGGGCTTCTCTAGTGCCATTCTTTACTTTCTACCGGAGAACTTCCACTTTTCTTTTTTTTCATTCTAGAAGTCTAGGTAACATTTCATTTGGAAAAAAAAAATATTTCTCATCATTTGCAAACCCATGAGTTTAACCCTTTTACTTCATAGATGAGTAGTAGATGGCTGCTACTCCATAAATGAGGATGTTGTGTGGCGAGGTGGACACGGGTTAGCTCGGAAAGAGAAGGGCAGTTCTGTTGGTGAACAGTGTGAGTTTGTAAAGATCCAGAGAGTTAGTATGCTCTTCACAGATGGAGGTTGGTCCCCATGTGATGAAATACTAAATATGCTGGCACTATAACAAACTGGAAGATTGAGGGTCTGTTACTGCATTAAAGCAGCTCCAAAACCAGGACTAGCAAAGCATTCAATCTTACACATTGTGAAAAATATATAAATCTAAACATATATATATAAACCCATTGCTGTCAAGTAGATTCTGACTGATAGCGACTCTATAGGACAGAGTAGAACTGCCCCATAGGGTTTGCAAGGAGCAGCTGGTGGGTTCGAACTGCTGACCTTTTGGTTAGCAGCCGAGCTCTTAACCACCGTGCCACCAGGGCTCCAAATATATATATAATATAAATGTAAAGAGTATATTTTTAAAAAACTATTGTTTTTCTACATAATTTTTAGAGAGATTCAAACATCTGTTGTAGATGCCTAGACTCTTTGGTGTTTTTTTGAGTACTGTGGCAGATCCTTTGTTTACATTTTGCTTTTCATGTCACACAACATCACAGAGGCTTTCTATTCCCTCCTAAAACTTCCCTTTCCATTTCTATAAACTTTGCTGCTTAAAGACATTCCTTAGGTAAACTCTAACAGTTTGGCAGTTCTTTTCTATAAAAGAGAGTTGTTTGTTTCTTTTAAACCGTGCTTGATTATCTAACAGGTAAAGATATTTATTTTATACAGGAGAGTAGCCATCATTAACCATTTCTAAACCATTCGTTCAATGACAGCTACTCATTTAACTACTGTTATGTGCTAGGTGCTGATTCATTGTTGATAACACTTCAGTCACCTCATTTGTTCAAACTATGAGTGTTTATATTTTGAATGTTTTCGTTGTCTTGTGCCATTGAGTCAATTCTGACTCATGGTGACCCCATGTAAGAGTAGAGCTACTTCATAGGGTTTTTCTTGGCTGTTATCTTAACAGAAGCAGATTGCCAAGGCTTTTTTTCCGTGGAGCCACTGGATGGGTTTGAGCCACCAACCTTTGGGTTACCAGCTGAGTGCAAACGCTTTGGGCCACCCACGGACCTATGAACAACTTTAATGGATTAATGCATTTAACAAATATTTTTAGCCCGACTCTGTGCCGGGCATGTTATTTGGTTCCTGAGATACAGTGATATATAAGAAACAGTACCTTTCCTCAAGAAGCTCTGCCTAATGGCAGGGCAAGACAAATACACAGACAATTGCAATAAAATGTAGCATATATTATGATAGAAACATGTATAAGGTAGAGTAACCCAGAGAAATACATTTTTTTTCAAGAAATAGTCATTGAGTATGTCTGTATACTGGACACTCTACTGCCCATGGCCATTGAGTCCATTCCAGCTTCTAGCAACCCTATAGGACAGAGTGGAACTGCCCCACGGGATTTTCGAGGAGAGGCTGGTGGATTTGAACTGCCAATCTTTTGGTTAGCAGCCCACGCTTTTAACCACTGCACCACCAGGGCTCCATTACATAGGGGCATATAGCAGGGAACAAAACTGATATGGTGTGTGCCCTCATGGAATTTGTACTTTAGGAGGGAGTAATTGACTCTGGGAAAAGCCCTGGTGGCTCAGTGGTTAAGTACTTGGCTGCTAATCCAAAGGTCAGCAGTTTGAACCCACCAGCTGCTCCCGGGGAGAAAGATGTGGCAATCTGTTCTTGTAAAGATTACAGCCTTGGAAACCTTATGGGGCAGTTCTACTCTGTCTTAGAGGGTTGCTATGGGTTGGAATCAACTTGATGGTAATGGGTTTGGTTTTGGTTAATTAACTCTGGGGGTTAGGGAGGAGGAAATTCAAACTGTCAAAGGCTAAACGTATGAAATTCTTGAGCAAGGATTTGAAGGATTATGGTGAATTAACCAGATCAGCAAGGCAGAAGGTGGAAGGTGGAAAAGCATTCCAAGTAGCGGGAACAGCTTAAAGCATATAGGAAGCCCAAGTACTTTGATGTCACTGGCGCAGGAGGACTCTCCAGAGTCCCAATGGAGAGCTTCTGGACTAGAAAGCATTTGAATTTCTTAATTCCCCCTGCACTTACAGATTCTGGAATGGATTGAAGGCAAAGAAAGAAACATCAGAGCGCTTCTCTCCACAATGCACACCGTGCTGTGGGCTGGGGAGACCAAGTGGAAGCCAGTTGGCATGGCAGACCTGGTAACACCAGAGCAGGTGAAGAAGGTATACAGGAAGGCTGTCCTGGTGGTGCACCCGGATAAAGTAAGTATAGCCTGGTGTTTTGTATCATTTGTCCTGTCTTCATTTCATTCTCTTATGAACATCATACTTGCAGTATGCTTGTGATCTATGCCATTTAATTAATATAAAAATCCATGAGGTAAAATTGGATATTGAAACAAATAGTTATACTTCATGAAGTGGGTGAAAATAAATCAAACTCCATATTACAAATAACAGAATGGGAGCTTTACTTAGAAAGGTGTTAGATTCACCAGTGACTAAATTTTTAGGGCTCAAATGTAAATTGTGTCCTAACCTCTTATAGTAGTAAGGATAAGCTAAGATCTAGACAGAAGAAAGCTTTTTTGCTTGTAGCCAGGACTGTAGTAAAAGAGGCTTAGAATGTATTTGTCAAAACTAGAGAAAATCAACAGAATATTCAAAATGGAATAAATTAATTGCTATGCTAATTATGCCAGTTTATGTTTTCATTGAACTATGTACAAATACAAGTGATGTATATTGTCAGAAACTTCAAATACCTTATGGCCGAGTTGAAAAACTATGAAAGCTCAAACTATGCATAATACGTAGAAACATCCCAGACAGAAGTGAGTCATCTTGCTGTCATATGGACTATACCCATTATATGACATGAGGCTATGATTGAAGTGCCCCTTGGGAACACATGCTTAAATTTGATTTTCATCTTTTTTATTTTTTTACTTTTTGTGACTAGTCTGAATAGAGGAATTAATGAGAAACAACTTTACTGCTTGAGTTTTGATGAATCAAAAGAGAAAAAGGAATGGGAGCCCAGAAAAATCCACAAACTATTACGGGTCTCAAAGAACTTACTTTTTTTAGAAATGGGAAAAATGGGAGTTTAGAAATACAGATAATCAATTGGAGATAGGCTGCCAGGAACCTTTGTCACGTTGCTAGATACTTCCGGAGAATGAAGATGCATCTTTCGCTACCCATGAGTTCTCTGTTATGCATTCATCAACTTATTATCACCACCATGTGTGAATTTCTAGTGGGAGGGTGTCCTGGGGATGTCATAGTAATTAAGGCCACATAGACTAAACTGTGAAAAGAGGAATGGCCTAATTAAAAAAAAAAATTCAATTACTCAGAGCTCATACATTAGCAGTAAAAACTTTAATATAAATAAATTTTGGTCTGTGGTGTCTAATGTGTTTTTGTTCTTTCTGTAGGCTACTGGGCAACCCTACGAACAGTATGCAAAGATGATTTTCATGGAACTGAATGATGCCTGGTCTGAATTTGAAAATCAGGGCCAGAAGCCCTTGTATTAACCAGTGAGCTTCCCCATCTCTGCTGCAGACCTGTGCTAATGCTTAGTGTGTGTCACAATTCTGAGGTGTTCACAGATGAACCAAAAATTCCAGTAACACGTTTCCCATACTAAACTTTTAAATTATTCGTGAATTAATTCCTCAGTGATAAGGAATGTGGATGTTTGGTTTCTCGAAGTCCCCAGCATAAAATGTCCAAAGCATGAGAGGAATTTTAGTCAGATGGCCTTGCAGAGTTACAACATTCCAGCCTGCCCTTGGGGAGCCTACTCAGCATTTTGCCCCGGAAAAGTGGAAATAGAGGCCACAAAAGGCACAACACCCATCTCATTGAGAATAGGAGTAAATGAGCAAAACTTAAGATAATAGAATTATATGATGGTTTTAAATAATGGTTTTTAGATTTTCTGGAAAAGATGTAATTTGAGCAACGGTTTTACATAGACTTGAGGAACACAACCAGCAAGTTTTTCTGTTTTGTTTGTTTGTTTTAATGGAAATTTACTATGGCCTTTAGCATACTGTACACTTCTTTTGGTCAAGAGGACTAACAAATGTAAAAGAGCCTGAATTGTGGGAAGTGATTATACTACAATCCATTGAGTACCACTGTCTGTTCCTGGGTAAATGAAAAATTAGTGAACATGCTGGCTAAAGAAAATAGGGACTGTGAGGATGTCAGAACCTTTATTCCTGGTCAAGGGGTTGGGCTACTACCTTCCATTCCCTTCAGAAGACTGTGGTCGATTAAAGAAAAAAAATCTTAAATAGCATAACAACTCTAAACTCGACTTGAAAGAAACTTCTAATTTTGCCATCAGGCTTGATGCTCTGCTTTTGCTTAGCCAAGAATGTTCTTAGCTGGAAACAGATTGTGAAGCAGTTTGGCCTGTTCACAGTTTATCAGGACTGACGTCCAGTGTGGACTCAGTATTCTCTGGGCTTATGAGTGGTTGTGGTAAGAGAATAGAAGAAGACAACGCTGAACACCTGGCCCGAGAAATGCACAGATGCAGTGAGAGCTGTGCTCTCACCATCAGACCGACTCAGATGTCTTATCAGTATTTTGCTTTGAGGAACCAGGCTCCACACCCCCACCCCACCTGGAGAATCTGGACCACTTGGATCAATACAATGGAGTATATTATTTTAAAAGTAGCTGGAGGTCCAAAGGAACAACATTCACACAGGGGCATCTGTGGAAACAAAACAAGAATGAAACCTTTCCAGACCTCAGACCAGCTGGATTTCAGTTCAGTGTTTGGGCTGTTTCTCATTCTGAGTGCTAAGCAGTTTGTATCCTGTGACTCTAGTACATCAGTTTTGGGGTACACATATACCGTGTGCATATTATACATATGCAAAGCAAATGGGCAAAAAGATTTCCATGCTAATCTTAAAGGTTTGTACTCAATATTGTGAAAAGCTTTCAAAAATTGTTTTTAAATGACAATCATTTTTTGTTTCTATTTTAATTTTCTTGCAGCAAACTATACCAGAAAAGCAGCATGTCAAAAATTATTTATGTTCTACATAGACTCTTTTTTTTTTTGTTATAAAGGTTTGTTATTTATTTTATCTTTAACTGACAATGTGAAACTCACAGAAAATGTTCTCTTAAAATACATACAACTGTAAACTGTTCAAGATAACCATAACTAGATATTATTTATTAATGTATTATGATGTAATGTTTGATCCAGTATGTGCTTGTCTTATTTAAAATCGGAATGTGAGACATGTTGCTGTGACCTGTGTTTTTTTCTTTCTCATTCACATTTGTAGATATTGTGTGACCTACAGTATATAACGATAATAATTAAAAGGATATTATGTGGATGTCACGTACATTTTGAAATGATAGACCTATATTAGCTTTGTATCACATTTGGATAATTCATCAAAGTTCACAGTTTAAAACATCATCAAATTAATGCTGTGTAATTAGCAATGAGAAAGAATCTTACCTAACTTAAATTTGGGGATTTTTCCACATATCTCTTTTCCAGATACATTATAATTCTGGATCCCTATTTATCTCAAAACTCGTAACATATGCAGACCAACAGGTTTTTGCATTTCTTTTAAATATCTGGTTGTGACAGAGCTTGTTGTTGGTCAGATTCGCTGTTTCATTCATATTTATTGTAATATATTTTTTGTTTTATAAATATGTTACACACAACAAAACGTGATTGGTCTAAAATATTTGTAATGTATATTAAAAGGCTCAAAAATATTTGTAGAAACTTAAATTATTTTCATACTTGTGGGACTATGATAAGAAGCTTGAATTACAGTTTCCAATGTGATTCACTTTTCAGGCAAGTTATGGGGAAAGGATATGAAAAACATATAATACATTTGCATGGAAATGTAATCTGACAGGATTTCTGGATTTATACTGTAAACACCCGTATTCCCCCTGCCCACATACACATGCACACTTTGGTGATCTTGAATATTGTGTTTCAAAAAGAATCAGCATAGAAATCCTGGCCTCCTATCTAGAATGTGGATGGATTTTTCAAAGCGCATTTGTATGCTGAGGCAAAGGGATTGATTCTGGGAGCATGGGACCTTGTCTTAGAAACAAAGTTTCAGATATTTTAGTTCTTTAAGGAAAGAAGCAGTATGTTTATTTGGGAAGAAATGTGGCAAAACAAAAGCATTTGAGCCATCACTGTACTGTCTACATCTGAAAAAATGCTCAAGTTGGATCCTCATGCCATCTTGAAACACCATTGTGTCAGGAATGGAAGGAACAAAAATTGAACTCCATAAACATCACAGCAACATGACAGTTTCTCTGCTGGAAACACCTGCAGGGAAGATAGATCAAGTAAACAGGTTTTGATTGTGCTAAAGAAACCACGGTTCTTGAGCAAAGTGGTACAGAGTTGGTTTGAGATCAAAAGAACCAGGTTTGAATCCTTGTTTCACCGCTTATGGACTGTCATACTGGACAAGTTTCTTAGATTTCTTGAGTCTCCATCCTAAAACAAAAAACCAAACCTGTTGCCATCGAGTCAATTCAGACTCACAGCGACCTTATAAGACGAGGAAAACTGCCCCATAGAGTTTCCAAGGAGCACCTGGTGAATTTGAACTGCCGACCTTTTTGTTAGGAGCCATAGCTCTTAACCACTACACCACCAGGGTTTCCAGTGACCCTATAGCATCTGTAAAATAGAGATAACCCTAACAACCGTACAGTGGAGGAATTAGGGACTGTGTATGTACACTGCCTGTTACCAAGTAAGTACCCACTAAGTAGTAACTATTACACTGTCTACTGGGAGAAGATAAGACAGTGTATCACTGCAGGTCAGTGCTGGGGCTGGAATTATATTGAAACCTCAGATTGTGGGGAGTGGATAACATCAGTAGGAAAAGGCAACCAAAAGTCACTTGTGCCGTGGCCCGTATTCCTGTCTCCTTGGGCTGACAGATCTACCTGTATAGAATGGCAAAGACACATTGGAGGTTGTTAAAGAGGATGCCTGTGTAAAAAGAAGCAGTGGTTAGGAAGGAAAACTAACATTTATTGATTTCAATCGTGTCGTGTCATACTTGCATTTAGCTTATGCACTGACTGCAGAGTCTACCCAGTGACAGATGTGATACTACTACCATCTATTTCACATCTATATATATTCAACTGCACTGCCCTAGGTGCTATTATATATATTAATTTTTCTCATTTAAAATTAAAAAAATTCTGAGAGAGATTTTGTAAATCCTACCTCAGGAAACTGAAGCATGAAGATGTTTACCCAGAACTGAGGTCTGAGTCTAGATCTTTTCCATAGGGTAGATCCTGTATATGTACTTATTGGATAATTCAACCAATAACTTTGTGTATACTTTATGCAGTATACTAATATGTATGGGGATATTAAATCAATGAATGGGGTTAGCTGTAAGACTACAACAGTTCCTGCCTTCTTGGTGCATAAGATATACTGTGGAGAATAGTACAAGTGCTGAAAGAATTTTAGAGTTGAGCAGTCCGGGACTTGATCCCAACTTCCCAGCTCACTGGTAATTACTGTCTGAGTCTTAGTTTGCTCATCTTAAGATGGAAATACAGTAAGTCCTGGGTTACAAGAACATCTGATTTACAGACAACTTGTACTTGCCCTTTAATGTTATGTAAATTTGCCCTCACTGTGAAACAACTGAACCAACCCCTACTCAAAACAAATTCTTCATTACAGTCACCTTCACTCGCTGCAGGTACACCTTTTAAATCATTGAAAAGGCTTCGAGCGTTTTCTTGCACTATCCAAAAGTAAAACCCATTGCCACCTCATAGCCACCCTATAGAACAGAATAGAACTGCCCCACAGGGTTTCCAAGGCTGTAAATCTTTACAGAAGCAGACTACCACATCTTTCTCCTGAGAAGCGGCTGGTGGGTTCAAACCGCCAACCTTTCAACCT